ATCTTAAACAGTAGGTACCTGTGATATATTAATTTTAAAAGTATAAGTACAATAATGGATAGGAACATACTGTAGAACGTAGACATTTCTATTATTTTGAATTTAGATCAGATTAGTTACATAGAGAATTGTTTATTTGTACTTATTGAAAACTGACACAGATGGTGTTAGATGTAATGTATGGGCTTGTTGGGAATTTTCCTCTCTTTGTAAATTCTCCCAGCATATAATTGTCTCTGTTGTTTACGGGTCTGTCTGAAATGGTTATCTGAATGAAATCTGCGTTTGTGTGCAGTTGAGTTTATAACTATTACAAATTAATCATCATCCTACCCGACATTGTTGTATTTCATTCATTCATGTCTTTAATGTAGGATTTAAAGTGGATGTTTCATGTTTAATAACACATTTTTAGCCAGTTCAGGACGTAGGTCACACCGTTTTGGAAAATACTGTATGGTGTTTGGTGGCTTGAGGATTTAAGGGTACTTTTGTGAACTCTTTCTGAACGGGCTCTAATTATTAGACACTGAACTGATTTCACTATGATGCGGGGTCCATCAAATGACTAAAACAGCTGTTTTAGTTTTATGGTTTACAGTATTTGGGTAAGGTCTCCTGTAAACCTAAAATTTTGCGTGAACAAAATCTTCTATATTGTTGTTATCATCTTGTGCTTGTTAAAGATTTTCAAAAGACATTTATTTGTGAACAATATCTTGGTTGTAAGGACCCCACATTTGCTCTATTAAAAAGCTGGTTAGAGGTAGCAAAGTGCCTTGCTGATGCACTGTAAGACACTTAGAAATGGAAGAAATCAAAACTACCAACATGTGTCCTTTTTGTTTTGATTGCTTTCTATCTCATCAGCAATTTCTTTTCATTCTTTGATGTATTAATATTTATTAAGAATGTGAAGAAACTCAATTGATGCTTTTGTACAGATCCAATCTTAAATTATTTGAAGCAATAGTCCTTCGGCAGTATAATATTCAGTTAGTCAGGATTCACAATGTATTTAAATAAACAACTGGAAAAGTAAACTTGTTTTAATTATTACCAATGAAAAGGAATACAGGCTTTGGAGTTCATTCCATGTATTGACATCTAATAAGAAATTTCAGATTAAAACCATTTATTAGCTGAAGGTTTCTCATTACTCAGATTTTCTATACAAAAAAAACCTCGCCAAAAACTGTTACGAAAAATCTTAACAGTAACTGTCTACCACACAAATGAATTCTAAGGGCAGTTCCAGCTATCATGACTAACATATGTATTGTGATATTGATTTAACTGCAACATTTATGTCAGCAACCTGGTTATGTAAGTAATGACCTGGGCTTTCGTGATTTGAGCACTAGGCTATGCTAGCCTTAAGTTATTTACTGTACTTTCTTTGTAAATAATTACAACCCTGTTGAGACGGGTAGGTCCTGGAGGGTCCCCTGTCTAGAGGGTCCCCCTGAATTTTTTACTATTTTTTATAGT